ATCCGTCCATACCCCTTCCCCTACCGTGCATCGTCGGCTGCCGAGCCGTGCCCTTCCCCCCAACGCCTCGCGCCCCATCGCCAGCCGCGCTGCGCGCCTGTCCCAGTCACCCGCACCGCTCGCTCCCTCGTCGTCCGTCCATCCCCCATCGCCGTCACGCATGCCGCTAACCCCGCCATAGCCGCTAGGGCGCATGTGCCGTGGCGCCTCATGTCTTCCTCGGTCGAGCCAAGGGCACCCATGAGAGTGGCAGGTGCTGGTGGTGCCCGCGCGCCACGGCTCGCCGTTGGCTTCTACCCTAACGGCCGGAATTGATCGGCCTGGCCTTCCCCTTCCCTATGTTGCATATGTATGTTTTAAGTGTTTGAGACGTTTCAAATGTATGTTGCAATTATTTCATGCATCTTTATGTTGCAAAAGTAGATCGGGGATGTTGCACATGTTGCATATGCTGCAAGTGTTTCAAAGGCATGTTGCAAGAGTTTATTCAAAATGTTTCATCTGTTTCCATACGTATGTTGCAATCGGTTTTGATATGGATGTTACATATGTTTCACACATATGTTGCAACAGTATGTTCCCAATGTTTCAGTTGTTTCAGTCTTATGTTGCAGCAAGTGGTTTTCATGTTGTAAGTTGCAAGTGTTTTATTTGGATGTTTCATGTGTTTCACACACATGTTGCAATTGCATTTCCCAAATGTTTTATCTGTTTTTAGATGCACGTTGCATTCAAATGTTTTTTTCATGTTGCAAGTGTTTTATGTTGTTTGGCCGGGGGTGAGCCGGGAGCCGGCGGACGGGGCGTGCAGTGCGCCGGGGGCCGTGGATGGGGTTGCTGTGGGTCAAGGCACGCTGAGGGAGTCCAAGAGTTGCCCGCGTGTCGCCCACGTGGAGAGCCGAAGAGAGAGAGAGAGAGAGGAGGGGGTCAGGGGAAGGACCGGCGGGCTCAGAGATAGGGGGTGGAGTGCACTCGTGGGGCGGGGCAAAGGCAGACGGGGGCGGGGCTAAGGTGGACGGGGGCTGGCTGCGCGTGGGTCTGGACGTCCGGATGTCCGGGTGCTAGCCACTCCGTTTTATTTAAAATAGTAATAACACATGGTGTTTCAGTATAGGACTCTTATTGTGTGCTCTCACTCGTTGCTAAGACTGGCAGCGAATGAAGGGCATCAGCCATGAAGGGAAACTAATTAAGAAGATAGACTAATCATAGATATATGTGGCATTCATACAAGAAATGGGAGAGATTAAGAAGTTGACTTGCAACTAAAGGAGGATGTTCGTGGGAGAAAAAAAAAGTTCAATCAGGTATGTAAGAAAAGTAATCAGTTAGAAGACTCTATATAGAAACCGTGCGTTGCGAACCTGAAGCAGCGCACGTACGCTGAATAGAAATTGTGCATGACAATATCATATATATAGCCAGCCAGCCCCTGATTCTTTTTTCCCTACAAGCAATGATAATGTCAAATAAACCATCATCATCCAGCAAGAGGAATCTTTGGGAAAGTGGTGTGGATCCCTCTGCTTCTGTGTTCCTCGGACCTTGTAGTACGTACTGCCTGGTAGCAGTGAAACAGATCTTCAAGATATCCAGCAAATCAACTATTAGAATCCACAATAATATCTATGGAGCTGTTGGTAACAGACTGACAGTAGGTTCACGCGCGCGACGTTATAATAATGAACGGCCATATGCGTTGGTCGATACAGAAGCTGAGATATTAATATATTTCACGTGATTTTGTGTTTTTAACTTTTTATATGTTTGTTAACCACAATAAGATTATCCAATGGCCTCTCTGTGTACTTCTCCAGTCACAAAATAAATGCATTTCTAGCGTTCAAAATTTATCCCCACAATAAGTACACTTTTAGGATATAGACCACCTAACACTACTACTTTTTATTACTTTTACCATTTTCAAGGTGCAATTATTATATGTTTCTATAACTTTTGATAGGGTATTTATGTAATTTTGTTATGATATTGGTTTTCCTCCTTTATTCTAGAGGTGCATTTATTTTAAGACAGAGGGAGTAATAAAATTGGTTACTACTACTGATCAACATATATAATGTATTGAGATATTCAACCGCTCAATTATTAATATATTATACTCGAGGCAATTAATTCTCACAACGGAACACCATTCGATTACATTATCAACATGTAGGCCCCTATTGTCATACAGAGGGTCTTTGTAAGTGGTCCAATTCGTGGTCATGTCTATTTGGCATGGTTACCTAGCGTGTATAGTATGACTAAATGGCTGTGACCCGAAGGTTTTTAACCAGGGTCATTTTGCGATAGTCCATGTAACTACGCTAAAGGGCGATGCTATGTTCGAGTTGCATGGTGCCAATGCACATGCACCACGGTAAAAAACATTGCCACACAACAGCTTCACTTATACCATATATTCTAACAAAAAAAAACTATGTATACATATGCTCTGTTTTTTTGTGATTGTTCCTAAGCACATTTTTATGCATTCTACTCATATTAAACGATGCACCATGATCAATTCACTTGTAGCTTCGCCACTTTTTTTAGATAATGGAACTAAGTTCCAATCTTTATCATCCAAGTATGGTACATAGCTGTGTAGCTTCGCCACTTACAAAGCTTTAGGCCATTCTATTGCAAAATGATTAGATCTTGATAATTTAGATAAATAGAGATCAACATGAAAAATGTGGCATTTTGAAATAGCGAGATTAATGTTAGGGATTTGACGTCAGTGAACGTGGTCCCAGATGACACGAGGAAACCACCTTTGTCGAACTAACCAATTTTCACACGAAATGAACCTTCGGGTGAAAGCTTCGTAAGAAAGAGCCAATCGACGAAGGTTGTCTAGATCGAAAAAGAGGAATTTCAAGGTTCTTTGTGATGACTTGAACCCAAATGAAGGCATCATCAAAAAAGGACGAAGAACTAAGGAAGGCCTCGCCAAACAGAACGAGGGTTGGTGGGAACCTACAAACAAATCTCTAATGACGAGAAGGGCTTTGTGAAGTACATGTGGATGGTGTGAAGGTACGCACAAACGAAGATAGAGGATGACGAAGGTGTGAACAACCGAAGACCCAAACTTGTGACAAGAAGAGATAAGCCCGTTATGTAAATGACTAAATTGCCCGTGAATGGAGTGACGTCTATTTCTAGTTATAGTGTCAAATGAATGGGTACTTGGGGAACCATATTGTGCTATAAAAGATCGTCTCCCATATAAATACCCCTAATAAATGTACAATATAATACCAAGGGACGAAGGAGGATGCGATTCATGTTGTCATGTCTACTATTTCTTCATTCCATTTATAGTGGAGTGTTTACACCCCCAACCTCTGACGCTCACCACTTTATGTGAGCATGATACCACTAGTCCACCACAACCACAATGGCGCGCTCATCCAAGAAAACGGATCAACCAAGCAATGGAGACGACGCAAAAAACACCATAAACGAAGATGATACCACAATGGAAAAGCAATTGAGCACGAACCAAGACGTGGCCAAAGCTGCAAGATCACAAAAGCAAAACATGAATGATCAAACAACAACACCAAACCAATGCAACCAAGAAGAAAGGCTATGCGAACTTGAGGAACAACTTAGTATCAAAAAGAAAGAACTAGAAGCAGGCAAGACAAGAACAAGAGAAAAATCATTCAAGCAAAGAATATATAAGAGGCAGAAGCATCGCTTCATCACATCAATGAAGAACTCAAACATGCCAACCCACAAAAAGTTCGCTTAGAAGAACTGGGATCTTCAGAATAGCCAGAGGTGGCGGCTCGGCGCGGCACAAACGCGTGTGTCAGCGGCGGCATGGTTCGAGCAAGTCTGCGTGTCTCCGCAGGGAGACGACGATGAACGCAAGAGGACAAGGGCAGGGGTAGGTGGGAAGGTAGAACATGGGACAACCGCCGGTTGAAAAACTTGTCCTATATGGTATCTTTTTAGAAGACATGGCAATACACGAGCAATCAAGCCATGATTGCTGAGAGTGCTTTAAATAGATTTTGTTGGTGATTGCCCACAGAGGCTACTCCATGTCTCTTTGCTCACTAGTGGCGGACCCAACTAGATGTAAAATCCAATATCTGTGAAAGAAAAAGCCACATTTATAAATCAGAAGCGAACGCTCCAACTAGATGTAAAGAGAATATACAGGTAATGAATGGCAAATCCAATATCTGAATAAGCAATAGAGTCATCGTCAGACAATTAAAAGGCAACCGTGGACTAGGAGCACTTTTTAAGGGATCCACCCGTCTCCCCCACCCTTGGTTCGTTCGTACCCTTTCACCACCATTGAATTGAACACTGTCTGTCTCGGTGTCTCCCTCCCTCCCCTCGCATCACAATCACAACTCATCCGCAGGCCATCCCTGCTCGGCTGCCCTGCCCCCCTTGTTAACGGTTGAGGCGTTGCTGGTACACTCCTGCTGGCCAAGCTGCCCCTGTTCTGTTCCGCGCGAGCGTCCCACAGGAAGAAGGAGGCATACAGCTCTGCTCCCCTCACGCCTCGCCTCGCCTCACCTCACCAAGGCCTCGTTTAGATTGAAGAAAATTTCAACCCGATGAATAGTAGCACTTTCGTTTTATTTGGTAAATATTGTCCAATCGTAGACCAACTAAGTTCAAAAGATTCATATCGTGATTTCTAACTAAACTGTGCAATTAGTTATTTTTTTTACCTACATTTAATGCTCCATGCAAGCGGTTAAAAATTAATGTGATGGAGAGAGAGTGAAAAAACTTGGAATTTGGGAGTAATCTAAACAAGGCCCAAAAGAGGAAACGCCCACGGCTTGCTTTACCTCCAGCAGTCGTCTCGCCTAGTCGCCTCGTCTCAGTCTCAGAGTAGTAGGAGGGAGAGCTGGATGGCATGAAGCAACCTGCCAAGAATGAGAGCCTGGGCTGCCCCTGGTAGAAACAGAGCAAGACCGGGCCACAAGGAGGAGGGGGAGGAAGAGGAAGAGGGTGAGATGGGCAACTGCGGCACGCGAGAGGAGAATGCCGTCGTCGCTGCGCACGCGCAAGGTATCCATCCTTTCCGGTTTGCGCCTGGGTTTTCTTGGGCGGACTCTTGTCGGTGGTTGTTTGGATTGGATCTCAGGCTGGGCATTTCGAATTGCATCGGAATTTCGTCTTTGCTGGATTATTTGCCAGCTCCTTCCTGGCGTCTCTTTCTCTTGGTTGGTGGGCTCACGGTCACGGTGGATGTGGTTACCAAAAATGCTTTCTTTCTTGGCTTTCTATTGCGATGCCGTTTGGTTTATCTGTAGTTTCGGACTGGCGATTTGGTTGCAAAATTCGATTTTTCTCAGGGTCTAACCCATATCGACATTAGGGATTTAAAGTCACATGCCAATCTTCACTCGAAATGTTTTAATTCTAGTACTTCAGCAGGGGGAGTTTGATGTTTTTTTTTTCATTTCCCCCCTGGAGTCTGGAGATGAACCTAGCCTTAGGACTTTGGTTCTGTTAATCCGAATTTACTCAAGTTTTATGTTCTTTGGTTGAAAGCTTCGTTTAATTCTTCTTGTCACAGTTCAGGTTGTTGGTCTGTGATCTCTTCTATGCTGCATCTTCTTGTCCAGTCGCCGTGCCCTTGTGCTTCATTATCTTCTTGATTTTTTGAAACCCAAAGCCTACTTGAATTGACTGTGTACATTGAGAAAATCTAATGGCACTTTTCCCCACTATTGACTTTCGATTTCACATGGATAAAAAAATTTACGATCCTCCAAGTTGAATAAACATAATCTGCTCTAGTCGGTACTTGCATTTTTAAAGCAATTTGATCCCCCGTGCAACTGTGCAGTAGATCTGGTCCCCTGACCTGTTTATACTTTGCTTTAATCAATTTGTGCATGTATTATGTCTTTATTGTTTCCCTGTTTCCTACTAATAAGAAAGATAAGTGGTACAGTCCATTAGAAGCTTGTATTTTAGGGGAAATGTCATTTAATGGATGCTAACAGTTGGAAATTCATTCATTTCTACCTGTTCTCATGTTACTTCTGTAATTTTCAAATAGCAATTGTATTTCAGCATGAGTAATCTAACTTTCATTGAACCCTGTTTGTAAGTGCTTAATTCTACACGAATCCTTGAGTCATACATTTTCTTAGGATATATCCGTGACCTGTACTAGCTAATATAGAACTGAGCGTGAGAATATTTTCTAGTGGATAGCTTTTGGTCCTTTTATCTTATATATATGTGAGAAATCCTTGTTACTTCAATTCTTTAGTTACTTGATGGGCAATAGTTAAACTTCATATTGTCGAGGACTTATATTTCTTTCTTGAATACCATGTTCTCAGTTCAGCAGCTCCACTTGTTGCAACATCCTGCCAAGAACGCCCTTGCAGATAAGAAGCACGCCCGCTCATCGTCAGATATAAGTGATCCTTCAACACCTAGGAAAATTGAAGATGCCAAGAACATTTCCATATACAACGATGTGATTGCCTTCACATTGTTTGAGCTAGAGACGATCACAAAGAGCTTCCGTGCTGATTATGTTCTTGGTGAAGGAGGATTTGGGACCGTTTATAAAGGTTACATCGATGAGAATGTCAGGGTTGGGCTGAAGTCACTGCCTGTTGCAGTCAAGGTGCTCAATAAAGATGGACATCAAGGGCACAGAGAATGGCTTGTGAGTACCCAAGTTCTTCAGTGATTTTCATGGAAAGTTCCTTTTGTTATATGCATGGCAACATAAAAATTGTCTATTAATATGTTGTACATGCAACTATGTATGGCACATTCGCATGGAAATATGTAAATATTGTCAAGTTCATATTGCCAACAAACATGCTCACAAGTAAAAACACACATACTGAGGGCTCCATGCAACTATTGTTTCATTGGCAGTCATGTTTTTGTTTCCATGGCTGTTTGGATTGGTTCTCACTGTTTTTTCACAATGTTTTGTCAGGCATCTATTATGAAAAACAGACATGGAAAGTTGATAAGCTTAGGTCATCCATATTGATTTCATTTACAGACATGTGCAGTCTTTGTGTTGTGCTGTTAGACAGAGCATATTGTAGTTTTCATTCTTGGGAATTTGAAAATGTTGTAGCACACTTGCTTGGCCAGAATAAGCAACATCACTGAGCAAAGAAACCCGATGTGTTAAGATGGAAATCCATAAGAAATGTGTTTCTTTGAATGCCTAAGCAACTGTGAGTGACTTCTAGTAAAATGTTATTGGGTTATTTTTGCTCATGGTTTTCATAGTTATCATTCTTATGTGAGCCTAGAAAATTATTGTTTCAATACTGTGTTTGGTTCAAAAAAAATATTGAAAATGTTTACGCATTTTTTTTTGTCAGACTGAGGTTAACTTCCTGGGGCAGTTAAGGCATCCAAATTTGGTGAAGTTGATTGGATATTGCTGTGAGGATGATCATCGGCTGCTTGTCTATGAGTTCATGTTTCGAGGAAGTCTAGAAAATCACTTATTCCGAAGTAATCCTCTACTCCTTATTGTCAGATTGTGTACGGTATCATAACTGAGTTTCTGTAATGCCACTTTTTACATACTATCTTCTGTTTTCTTGAATGTTGTCCACTGATCTCAACACCTTGAGCTCATAAAATGTTGCTGATAGAGTTATACTTCATTTTCATAACTATTGCCGGTATGATCTAACTTCTCTAACTGGCAGATGGTTAGGCATATTTATTTGTCTACCAAAAACTGATTCATTATTTTTGGTACTTTTTTACATGCTATTTCCAAAATAACCACCAAGCATCCAACTCTTTAACTTTCTGATGACTCACTCAACATCCTGGATGATTACTTGCTTGGTAAACTGTTGATTTTGATTAATTACAGGTGGTACATACTACCTAGCTGGTGACCATCTATTTTTCTGGCTTCTGTATTTAGCTTTTTAGGCAGCTTCCCAATCTGAACTTATGACTTCTTGTTATTTCCGCTGAAAGATATTTTACATTTGCACACTACCACACGTTGTTGATTTCTTCTGCATCTGTTGATTTTTGTCGTGCTTCTTTAATTAGGTACTATAGTTTCTACTTGCTACATTTCTTGATGATTTTACAAATTGGCAATGTCCCCAACTAAAAGAGAAATAATTGAATGCTTCCCACTGCTAGAATGTACGATATATAGTGTGCCAGTATGCTATTTTCCTTGATTCATTCACAACAAACTGCTACTTGAGAGGAAGGAGATTTTGCTGACTACATATCCTACTTTTCATGTTCTCAGAGACAGCTACACCATTACCCTGGGGTTCTAGGATGTCAATTGCACTGGGAGCTGCTAAAGGGCTTGCTTGCCTCCACAATGCTCAAAAGCCTGTAATCTACAGAGATTTCAAGACCTCAAATATTCTGCTGGACTCTGTTGAGTGTTAATTGCTTGCTCATGCTTTCTTCTCCCATTTCAGTTTTAAGAGAACATATGTGTATGAGATAATGACTTCTTTTTATTTCCATGGCTACAGGATTATACTGCTAAACTATCTGACTTTGGTCTGGCAAAAGCTGGCCCCGAAGGTGATGAGACTCATGTGTCAACGAGGGTGATGGGAACCTATGGATATGCTGCCCCTGAATATGTGATGACTGGTACTTTCCTCATTGTTTCTATATGTTTAGTAATTTCATTCTTTTTTAGAAGATATCATTGTTTCAGATATGAACTTCTGCATGTCAAATTGCAGACATAAAACTATTGTTTCTACTCATGAGCTGAGATCGCATATATTGCCATTCCCTGCTTCTTTCAGTTTTAAAATATTACTTCATAGCAGCAAAACTTATAGTCACAGAGAAGTATTATTTGTAATGCATGATCTGATGTCACATATAGATTGTTCGCTGCTTGTTTCAGCATTTGTACAGCAAACTATGGCCAAAACCTACACATGTATGTACTATTTGTCTGTGTTCATTTGTTGTTCTCATGTATATAGCTGGTGTGCAGGCCACTTGACTGCTAGAAGTGATGTCTACAGCTTCGGCGTCGTCCTTCTGGAGCTCTTGACAGGGCGCAAGTCAATTGACAAGTCACGGCCCAGCAGGGAGCAGAGCCTAGTTGACTGGGCCCTCCCGAAGCTCAATGACAAGAGGAGGCTTCTCCAAATAATCGACCCGAAACTGGAGGGGCAGTATTCGATCAGAGCGGCTCACAAAGCCTGCAGCCTTGCATTCTACTGCTTGAGCCATAACCCCAAGGCAAGGCCACTAATGAGTGACGTCGTCGAGACCCTGGAGCCACTGCAGGGCGGTGGCGGTAGCGGTAGCGGTAGCGACGGAGCTGGCCAATCTTCTGGCCTTCCTGACTATAGAGGTCAACGCAGGCTAACAGGGAACAACGTCCACTTCAGGGCCATCCCAAATGCCAAGTGCTCCCCTGCTGTCCCGGTTTGCAGAGTGCGGTGATGGTCGCCGCCAACGGTGCTGTTTCAGTTGCTGCTGGAATAGGTTCGGTTGTATATTAGAGAGTCTAAACCATGGGTGATGTGTGCGCCTGTTCTGCGCTGCTGTGTGTGTTTGAGTTTTTGTTTTGGAGGTTTTTGGCCAGCGTTTTGAAATGTAAATTTGATCTGCATGCTGGTGCTTGTAAGGCCCGCTAATTTTCACAGTGCTCTTATGTATCCTTGTCTCCTTGACTGAGTAAGCCCTGCCAAAACAGGCGGGGTTTAAGTTTAACCCTAGAAATGAAAGGCTGAACTAGGACCTGTTGGATGCTTGATCTGCTATCTGGTGTGCTGTTCATATTTCAGGAACCAGTTTGTGTTGAATTCCTTGACAGTCCTCTCTTATTTGGCACCCTGCCATGCGCCCATGCCACAGGGAAGAATGATGATTCTAGTCAAAAGTAATTATTTGTCATCGAAATTGTAGTTGTATGATCTTTTGATGCATTGTGCAATTGTGTAAGGCCTGACATCTCTTCTGCTAACCTGTGCTAGGAGCTGGGATGTTGATCTGGATGGCTGCCGGTCAGTGGGTTTTCTTGGTCCTGTTTTTCAGACTTTACCAGTTTGCAGATACGAAGTTATGTTTTCATGCGTCTATCTACACAAACACAATGAATAGGAATTCTGAAAAAATTATTAATGAGTATGGTTGCCTGCATCTGTTATCTTTGGTAGGTGCAGAGGCTCTAGTGTACCTTCATTATCATCTAAAAAAATGCTGAAAATGCACAGAAAGTAAAAGGCTTGATGATGGGATGGAGATGAATCATTGTCTGGGCTTGTTATAACCGAAGTCCACCGTGCAAGTAGTGCTTCTTGTTATTTCTTTTATCTTTTATAGATGCTACGTTTCTTAAATATGTCGATTTTGATGAACAAATATGCTGCATCACCCTGGATGGGTCTGTACTCTTTACAGATGATTGGATCACGCTCTGCCGTCTGAGCAAATAACTAGCCTATACACTGTAGTAGTAGTAATGTCAGAAACTAAATGGGCAGGAACAATCAGATCAGAGAACGCAGCTTCCTGCATTCAATTGTTTAACATTCAAATTATTTCTTGATGTCAAATATAGTAAAAATGAAGCATAATTTAATTTGAGAGGTTAAAAAAATAAATATAGAAAAATAGCCTTTTGATGTTGGCTATAAGTGACTGAATCTTAAACTTTATATAAGGAGATTAATTTAGAGTTTAATACTATGTGAATATAAACATCATAATCATCCGCGTGTCTAGTCTAATGGAGATAATCGAGATAAATAAATGCAATAAAAGGATACGTACGCAGGTCGCTGACAGTGGAAACACAAACACTCATAAACTACCGATGATCATGATTTGAGAGCAACCCTGCTCATTTTCCAATTGTAACCTAGTCTGACACGCATCACCAACACGAGATGATGCAGCGGGTAGAATACACGCCAGTCAAGAAAGATGGCTAATATGTTTTTTTCCCACTCGAGAGAAAAAAAAAGAGAGTTCAATTTCGCTCGTGTACTAGCAATTACTAAGACGCTGCTGCTTCCGATTAAAATCTTTCCGCCGATACAGTATTTTTTTTTTCTGATCCTATTTTCCACGGGAGAGAGGAGAGTCGATTTGTTTTTTCCACAGGAGATTTTCTGATCCGATTTTTCACGGTTGATGATGACTCTTTTCCCGTCCCATTAACTCCAGTTCCGGCCGTTCTAAATTTGCTACGGGGTTTTTCACGAGAGCTGATTCGATTTCGATCCGTTTTTTTTCCACTGTTGACTCTGTTCCCGTCCAGCCAACTGCAGTTCTCGCCGTTCCCATTGTGCTACAGGATGTTTCACGCGATATGATCTGATACCGATTCCATTTGCCAACCGCAGAGAATAAGAGATCAAGACCCATTGTCATATCTAATTTTTCCTCATCAATTTCACTCTGTTTTTCCACACATTCCAATATAATATAAATATAAACATAATAAGTGTCAAAAACAATGAACCTTTGAATCATTAATCTATCTCTGAGAAACAAAAAATTATATACCACTGACTTATTGATGCATTTTCAATTATGAACAAAATTTGTTATATGAATCTGGTTTAGCCCATGGTCCAACTAATCAAATAGGGAACTAAGATGACGTTTATCGTGTGGCCAATCTAGTCTAAATAAGGCCTCTTGGCAGGGTGTGGGCCTCTCTGAAATTGGTGAAGCCAAAGAAACCCACGTTTTTGTGGCTTTGGCTTCTGTACAAAAATAGTTTTGGCTTGGATTTGACTTGATTAGAATTCTATGTATTTTTATGGGTCTTCAAAGAAAATCACATAACTTGATATTTAACTTACCAACCAACACATGGGTAGCATGAAAATTAAAATTATGATATACTTACGAGCTGAAATGTGTGGGCTGCACTAGGAGGAAAAATATCTCTCAAAGTTGTATTTTAATTTGATACATACGTAATAGTTTGCCAACACTAACTTAGATTATATATGGATGTCATTGTCATTATAGAATAATGCGTATAGAACAATTAATTAATAATTGTAGCCTCAAATTTTTCATAGAAAGGGAAAAATAAATAGATACGTAGGGTTCACTACTACGGAATTGATTTTAGGAGCCAACTTGTTTATTAACAGAGACATTCAAAAATATATATCCCAAGCACGTGATGATTTTTAGAGACAGATGTTTTATTTATTAAGGCAACCAAGAAAAATGTCAATCTTCAAAAATCATTTTACAGAGACACCTCTCTTAAATGGTTTGTCTTTGTAAATCATTTTTAGTGGTGGACACTTATCATAAAGCCACCTTGGCAAATTAGCGTATGACTCAATAACCCTAGGCATATAAATAAAAGCAAATCCTAGAGCCTCCTAACTCTCCTCTCTCTCTCTCTCTCTCCGCAGCCGCTGCTGCCTGCTAGCTCTCTCGCTCTCCCTGTGCACCCACTTTCCTCCCATCGGCACTGCCCTGCCTGCTTTCACCCGTCGTGTCACAGTCCCATCTCCTTTCGACGGCTGGACCTCTCATGGACGGGTAGGGGGCTGCTCTCTTTCCCTCAACTCTCTGTCCTTTCTCACTCTCTGCCTCTCCTCACAGATCCAGGGTTAACGTCCGATTCCTAGATCCATGTGAGTGTGCCCTCTAACCTCCTCCGAATCTGACGAGATCCCATCCGCGGCTATGCCAATGACATCCGCCTCATCAAGAATGTCCCCTCCCTCGCTCTCGGCAGCACGCGGCCCCTCTCAGTTGCCAGATCTGGAAAGGGGGTGGTAGACCCGATGAGGGCTTGCAGATCCAGCATTTGTAGGTGAGAGATGACTTTGTATCCTTTCCTAGCTAGATATGGTTTGTTGACTCCCCTTTTTGCTCTCATGGAGGATGAGGAGGATGGCCTTTTTGCTCTCATGGAGGATGAGGAGGATGGCATGGAGGTGCATGCATGGCCCTGTTCGCTTATCTTATAATCCGTCTTTTTCAGCTTGTTTTTTCAACCGGAACAATGTTTTTCTCTCACAACAAATCAGCCCAGAACAATGTATCGACTTGTTTTTTTCAAAGAAGCGAACGGGCCATAGAGGCAGACGCATGCGAGGACATCATAGATCAGAAGCTCCAGTGATGAGAATCTGTTTTCTTTTTCTGTTTTTATTATTGATTAATAACAAAGATGGGTGTCATAGGATACCGCATATATATATTTGCTATTTTATAGACGAACTATTCTACTGTCTCTATAGTGTTGGATTAACAGAGACTAAATAGAGAGACGGCCAGACGGGCACCTTGCCAGCCTCTGAAAATCTAATATGACCACATATGAAAATCTGTCACGTGGTAGTAGTTCACTGTTCCTATTTGTCATAGACGTTTGATAGTTTTCTTTTCTTCCATCACAAAGCAAGAATATATTTATACTAGTATATATATTTTGTCCAATGTGAAGTGAACATATTTATATAGAGAGATCAAAATGTGTACGTCTGGATCACATACCAAACCGCGCCCAAATATATAATTGTGCCATCTATGTCTGAACTCCCCTCACCTAATCCTGATGGGTCAGATCGATGGTGATAGATATACTACTGAAAACCACGAATCACCTATGCGATCTCTAAGAAGATATATATGATGCTGCCTTCTTGACACTAATAATAATAATCACACACGCCTCTCCACAGCTGGAGTAGGTAATAATATATAAGATCATCAGTTGCCTATTCTTGCGTCAATGTCCATCGACGACGACAAACAGAAGATACAACAATAATGTTTCCTACCTTACTTGAATGTCAGGGCTCCTGATCTTTTTCTTAAAAAAAAAACGAACAGAAAAACAGCAACAATACTTCCTACCTTAATTAAATGGGAGAGCTCTTGTGTCCTTCCTTAAAAAAAACGAACCGAAGAGTAGAAGACACACACGTACCTACAGCTACGTATTTGGAAACATGGATCAAAACAAAAAATATATATAGAAAGAAACCACAGTAACCTCGGAAAATTGGCGCGCGCGCGTATAAATATAGAGCTCGTCGTGGCGCTGCATGCCGTCGTCGTCGAACATTACCAAACCCCTCGGGATTCTCCCGGTCGGCAGCACCGCGGTCGCCAACGTACGGCTCTCGTCGCCCGATCGACGACCATAATGGCGGCGGCGGCGGCGGCTTGCCGATCTCTTGGTCTGTTCTTGGCCGTCCTCGCCGTGTCGTTTAGTGGTAAGCAGCATGCAGCTATTCTCATGTTCTGATCCATCGATGGTTTGTTGCCGTGCACTGCAGCAGATCATCAAATGTCGTCGATCGTACGTGTGTTTGGTTTGATCTGCAACTGCTAATAAAATTACTCTACTAATCAGGTGTTTGGTCCAAGTCGTTCACCATCACCAACAACTGCGGGTACACGGTGTGGCCAGGGATCCTCTCCGGGGCGGGCTCGCCGTCGCTAGACACGAC